GGAAAAGGAGAGAGAGGGGAGCGAAGAACGAGAAGGCGATGGAAAAGTGGATTTTGGCAAATACTCCCCCCCCCGGAAAAAGGAACGAAACTGTGACTCGAGCAGGAGTACTGAAGGAGACCTATGACATGTACCTAGAGTGGAATCGAGGCTGTCTCCGACATGTCCTCCCGAACTAGTCCAAGTACGGGTGCTGATTCGATGGGCCAGTGGGGAGACTTCTTGAGTAATGGAGCACTTCATGATTTTGGGGGGGGGGGGGGGGTGGGGGGGGGGGGGGGGACCTGTGTCTATTCCTCTACGCATACAAAGAATGTCCTGCTCAAGTTCGATGGAGTGGAAGCGATGCAAGCCCTACACCAAGAACTCTAAAGGTGTTCGCACGTATGGTCCATCAAGCAAAGTTGAAAAAGCTTCCGCACCAAGCCCATTTATCAAGTATGGTTACCAGGTCCCAAGAAACCACGACGAAGCTGTTTTCATTGATGAGAAAATGGCAACAGTAAGTGGCAGAATGCAGAGAGACTGGAGATTGCCCAGTTGATGAATACGACACCTTCGAGTCACTGGGAAAGGGTACCCCAGTTCCCAAACAGGCTACCAAAAGATACCAATGTCATATGTCTATGCCGTCAAACACGAACGGGCGCACAGGCAAGGTGTTGTGCAGGAGGCCACAGGACAGGAGACACCAGTCGACCCAACCTATCAGGTGTTGTGTCCTGAGGGCATCCGTCTGGTAGTTTCTTGGCTGAGTTGAATTGGCTTGAACTCTGGGCAACGACATTGGCAATCAATACCCGGAAAGCTACACGACTGAGAGGGTGTGTTTTATTGCTGGTAGGGAGTTTGGAGACATGGTCTGGGCATACGATGAAGATGATCCAGGCCCAATAATGGCCTCAAGTCATCAGGCAAATGTTGACATGATAGACTGTATGATGTGCTCACGGATTTCGCTTCAAGCCCTCTAAGGTGAGCCAGCTATCTGGATGCGTGATTGTGGCGACCACTATGAGTACATCGGTGTTGCTATGTTGAGACCTACTGATAGCTTCCAAGCAACCTCAAGTCATCATCGATCTACTCAGGCTCCCACCACACAAGTCAAACTCAAGAACTGGACCTGTCACCTTCCACTGGGATGTGACTTTGAAAGGGATGGCGAGGAATTCCTGTCCATGACACAAGAAAGTACATTGAACGTGTCAAGGCCCATATGTATCCTTGTTTGGGGAGAACCCATCCACTAAGGTAACCAGTCCAGTGGAGAAGAAGACCACCCAGAGCTTGATACCTCCCCTCTCCTGGATGATGATGGATCTCAAAATACCAGTCCCTGATTGAAGCATTGCAATGGGCAATTTCACTGGGGAGATTTGATATTGCAGTCTCGTTAATGTCAATGTCGTCCTTCAGGGTGGACCCCAGAGTGGGGCACCTGAGAAAGACTCAAGAGGATACTGGATTCTTGGTAAAGATGAACCAGGAAGGAATCAGGATCCGCACCAACGAGCCAGCTACTCTCAACTGGAATACGAACCTACGACTTGGACAAGGACGTTCTATGGGGAGGCACAGGAGGAACTCCCAGTAGATGCCCACAGCCAAAGGGCAAGCCGGTAGTATTGACGACCTATGTGGAGCAAACCTATACCACGATGGGTCAATGGCAAGGCAGTCACTGGTGTATGCACTATGTGAACCAGACCCATTCGAATGGTACTGCAAGACAAGCTACTGGTGAAGCAGCCACATACGGCCTGAGTTCGTTGCTGCTGGGGTTGCCACCCAACAGGCCATTGCAGCCAGAGTTACACTCAGGTACTTGGTGTGGAGGTAAAGGGGCCAAATACATGTTTGGCGACAAGGGGTCTGTGGTGACAAGTTCCACCAGCCCCATTCGCCCCTCAAGAAGAGACATCACGCCCTCTCCTACCATTTCGTCAGAGAAGCCATTGCCGCAGGGACCATCTCGTTTCATCATCTCCGGGAGCAATCAACCCGCAGACATCCTGACGAACACTGGGTTTACTCCCAGATATGGCCCATTCTGAAGGCAGTTCTGTTCTGGCAAGGAAACACAGCTGATCTCCTAGACACCACCATGGACACATCACATGGTGGGGAGCCATGAGTGGAAATCCACGTGAATCCCCATTGTGGTGCGAGGCAGCTGTGCTGGTTTAGCCAGGTGGAGAATCGCTGTGACATTTGTATACTCCAACAGTAGGGTAGCAGTGCAGCCATCTGGAATACAGAAATAGCTGAGGAATCTATATACCCAAGGATGATGAAGTTCTTCAGCCAAGAACAATATAGAAAGTTAGTTGCAAGCACCAGCCAAATGAGATGCAAGAGAGCCAAAGCTGCTTGGCTGAGTGCTGTCGAGGTTTTTGTGTTCAGTTGATTTTAGCATAGTTTAAAGAAGAAGAAGTATGAAAGGATAGTTGACCAGATACAGCCTCAGTAGACTAGTTTCCCACAGTTGAAGCTTCCTGTGTGGATGTGCCAAGGCAAAGAGTAAGTTGTTCAATCATTGCTGTGGAGTTGAATACATGGCAGCCAGTTTGTGGCTGGCCATTCCCAGTGCCAGAGGAGTGAGACCTCCAAGCAGAGCTCTCCACTCCAAGCTCTTGTGCATCTACCTGACTGAATCTCATCGTGAACAGCCAACAGGACGCGATAGTAACCCCATTTCATCTGCATAAGGCCGAAGGCCATCTCCACCCTTATGCGGCACTGGCTGGCGTAAAAGTTGAAATTGTCGTAGAGTGGGATCAGTTTGTCGGAACCCTGGTACACCGGTACCATGTGCTCCGTAGGGATGTATGCCGCATCGCCAATTACGCAAACACCGTTTGGAAGCGACTCCACCAAATTTTGTAAAGCACATTGCCGCATAGCATTACGGTCATCCGAAACCCCGGGAGCGGCATAGGCAAAGAAGATGAACCGAGAATGGTGGTCCGCTACGGCCTGGATGTTTACTCCATAGCACTGATAGTGACCTGAGAAGAAGCTTCGGATGTTGCCAGTTTCCTTCTTGGTTGGTACCCTGATACGCATAAGATAGCCATCGACGACACCAACACAGTTGTAATGGCAGCACCTCGGATATCCCGGCAAAGCCGTCCATTGCAGTTTTTATTTCCTGTTGAGTACGGGGGAATCGAATCTTCAACTGCGGACACTTGCACAATGCCGTTATTGTCTTCCATAGTACTCGATAGAACGAGCTACGGGAAATTCCAGCAATGTCTGTAATATCCAGGTAGGAGCCGCCGGCCAAATATCGAATCGTACAGTAGAGGCACAGTTCCGGTATGATGGATCCACCCCTTCGCGTGGCTTGAGTCTCGTTAACAAGCAGGTCGTCGACTACAAACGAAAGCAGCTTATCAAAGCTTTCTCTGCGCATCCGAAGTCGTCTAGCAAAGGTCCCACGGTTCTGGTGTTTCTGGCAATACCGATCCCAATGCAACCGTTGCTCGAAAAAGGAAGGATTCCTGGATTCGCCCGGTAGCACAGTAGAAGACCAACCATAGAATAGATAGTTGCAGAAGCAACGCCACATCTTGTTCGTATTCCTCATCATTGAAGTCCATTACGGCAGAGTAACTACACGACAACGACGGTGCTAGCAACAACGGTGGTAGAGTTACTGTCTTCTCACTTTTACTATACAGCAACCTCCTCGATCTCGAGATCTCTCACTTTTCGATTTTCGGTTGGGTTAGAGTTGGGGATTCGTTGGGTGACTGATGACGTTTAACGTTCTGATTGGTCCTACGCGAAAACCATTTCCACGAAAGCTACGGTACGGCGAATTGAGAATGGGAAATCAATGGTTCGCCGTACCGCAGCTTTCGTGGAAATGGAGTGAAAGCAAGCCGAATTTAACAGTTAAATTGATTTCACGTACGTACGGAGGAAGAAAGAGGTGCGAATACCTGGTTAGGACCAACTCTCATGCATCGAGTGCTGTGGAGGTCGCGACCGTGATTTCTGGAGATTTCTGAAAGTGTTCGAGTTATCTTTGCTTACGTCATACACATGAATGAGATCGTCCCATCATAATAACCCTATCGAAACGATTGAATTAGGGCTAAACTGCGCTTTTGTGGCGCGCGAAAGATCTTCTCAGCATTGCTTGAAAAATTTGGCCGTCGCCATCATCTTCTTGGTGCTTGATGCTTTATCAAAGCCGGGTGTTGTGGCAATCTAGTTGCTGTTGTCGCCAAGATAAGAGCTGCTGTATAGCTAGTACTTAGTTTTATTAATAATCCAATCCACCATGACAGGAAGAGATCCCTTCCCCATGAGCTCTCCGGAGGCTCAAAAACTGGCTGGAGAATCAGGAGAAGAGGGAAACTGGCATTCCATGTCCACTCAGTCAGCGCATCAAGGACCGAGAGACACATCCGTGGTGGACGGCGCCGAAGAGGATGGTCTCGTTTCCTCCAAAAAGAAGTCGACTGGCAATATCTACGATGATGCCGACGTATTGGAAGAAAAGGAACGAGGAGACCCGTTCTTGGATACCCCTTTATCGGATACCCGTGGAACACGATTCGAGCGGGCATTGGCCGCCAATATTCGATTCCTCGAACGCATCTATCACAATCTCTATGGGGACTCGTTGCCTCCGTCCGAAATGATCCGGACATTGACATTGGCATCGACGCTCTTTTTCATGATTGGGGGATACTGGCTATTGCGATCTCTCAAAGACCCCGTATTGACGGCTCTCTGTGGCGTTGCAGTCATTCCCAAGGCAAAAATGCTCTCGGTCTTTGTCGTACTGGGAGTGGTGTCCATCTACAACAAATTGCTAGACTCGGACATCCCCAAGCATCACTTATTCTACATCTTTGGAACCTTTTATTTTGGACTCTTTACCATCATTTCGTTTTTGCTCATGCATCCCACCATTGGACTCGCCAATCAACAACCCGATCCATCCAGAATATTGGGATGGATCAGTTACTGTTCGATCGAATCTTTTGGATCCGTCATGGTCAGCTTGTTCTGGTCCTTTGCCAATTCCAATATTTCTCTGGAAACCGCAAAGGCCAGTTATGGCGTCATGGTGGCAGCGGCCCAAGTCGGATCCATCATTGGCCCGACCATTGTCAAACAATTCGCCGCCAAAATTGGAGTCGCACACTGCTACCTGGTGGGAGCACTCTGTATGCTCATGTTGCAATGCACCATGTACACGTACATTAATCGTTATGGATCTGCCGAGCGAAATGCATCCGATGGTGGGGCTGCTGCGGGCAAACAGAAAAAGAAGGAAAAGGCGGGTGTCACGGAAGGACTGTACTTGTTTTGGGACCACAACTACGTCAAGGGAATCTTTGCCATTAGTTGCCTCTTCATGGTCGAAGTCACGATTGTCGATTATACTATGAAAGTCCTGGCCCGGGATTTCTTTGCCGACAAATTCCCTTGCGAAAGAGGAATGAGCTGTTTCAATGCTGTCACGGGAGAACATGGCATGTCGGAGGCGTCAACGGAAGCGTTCACTTCCTTTATGGGGTTCTTTGGGCAAGCCACCAATACGCTGTCGTTTCTCATGAGTTTGCTGGGCACAAGTGCCATCATCCGATACTTGGGATTGCGCATGACGTTGCTCCTGTTCCCAACGCTTTGCCTTGCTGTCATTATCTTTGTCAGATTGCACCCAACTTTGTATGTTGTCTTTGGCGCCATGATGATGCTCAAGGCAAGTTCCTATGCCCTCAACAACCCCACCAAAGAGATGCTCTATCAACCCACCAGTTCGGCCGTCCGGTACAAGGCCAAGAGTTGGATCGATATCTTTGGCGCGCGTGGTTCCAAGGCCCTGGGAAGTGTTGTGACGAACGCGTTTTCCGACTCGGCCAAAAACCTTGTGGCGAATGGTAGTTTGGTGGGAATGGCAGTAGCGACCTTTTTGATTTGGAACGCAACCTACATGGGCAAGACATTTGACGAGTACACGGAAATGGGTTACATTGTTGGCGGTGATACCAATCAACCCATGCAAACGCGAGAGGCCGCAGAGCAAGAGAGTATCCAATTGGCCATTGTGCAAAACGAAGTGCCAGACACGAGCTGTGCTATGGTGGAGGACGACGATGAGATTGGCCCCTTGGAGGAGGGTCAGTCGGATGAATCGGGTGGAAGCAAGGACGAGGAAGATGAGGAAGCAGAGACAAGCAAACTCCTGTAGTTAGAGAGGACATGACAGAAAAGGTGTTGGCGACATGTACATGTACAGACGACAAGTAAGTAAACATCAACTAAATGGGTTATTCTTATTAAAAGCGTGATAGAGTAGGAGCATTCATCACAGCAGAGTAATAAGCTTCATACATAGCTTTCATCTGTTTGTAGACGTTGAAACAAATGAAAAATGTCCCATGCCCATGAAGGGAAAGATGTCGTTGACCGCTGGCCATATTGCCACATCTGATGAGCTTTCAGTAGGCCCTCCTGCGATGCCTTGGCAGGTAATAGCCTGCTCACCGACTGAGGCTCACTGAGTGCGACGAAGAACCACATTGTAAGGAATGCCCTACTGTACCGGTACTAGTACTATTAGCTTTCTATTTAGGGTCTGGATTTCACCCATTGGCAAGAGTTTCAGATAAGATTGACCGGACAAGCAAATCGATTCCATTGTTACATTTGAAGCTCTGTGGGCTTTGTAGCTCCACATCGGGATCCACAGGGTGCTGAAAGATACCAACGCGAATACAATACCGGTAAGATGGATGCAAACCGTCTTGTTTCTCAAAATTTGTAGTACAACTTTGGTGGTGGGTCAGTACCAGATTCAATACTCTCCCAGCCTTTCGAAGGTGGTATGTCTGTGTTCCCTTGACTTCTGACCGTGTAGAAGGATTTGCGGGATCCAACAAGACCAGTTGCTGCAGTGATCCTGAAGCGATCATGGTCACAAAGATGACCTCGATGCAGCCGAAACTCCTGTGTCCTATGTTTGGTGTGAATAAGCCAGTGACTACCAGATTTCTTGTAGATGCCATTGACCACCTCCGAACCAGCTCCTACTACCTTGATTTCAGTAGGGTTTACACCAAAGGCAGGAAAGAGTGTAGTCCAAGGATTGTAGCGGACAGTAGAAAATGAAGTCGGAGATGATGACGCCTTTTTCAACTGCAATGCTTGATGCTTGAATGCTTGACACAATTGCCTTATCTTGACTAGACCAGATGCAGTAATTGTTGTCGACAAGAGTTCCGGTTCAATCTTTTTGAAAGAGATGTGCTTCGTAAGGTCCTTTGCAGCCATGAGACGCTTATCATCTCCTTTCCTCCATAGGACTATGATTTGAAAGAGCTGGTATTCTGTCGTTTCCATTTTCTTATCTTTGAGAATCTCTTCAAGGACATCAGAACTCAAGCAATCAACATGCTCAGCTCTTATTGATTTGAAGGGAGTAGTGCGAACATACGACATGGCTTTCTCAGCCAGCATTGGAGACATGGACGGGAAAGCCACCTTAAATGCCTGGAAGATGGCAAACGATGAGCAAGGGTCCGCATCCCAAATCTCTTCAAACTTTGCAAGGACTGACTTTCGTAGACCTGGAAGATGGAAATAAACAGCTGCCTCGGCCAATGATGCGAGCGCTTGAATTTGTTGGGAATCGGCGACTGGGCTGTCTGTGCTCTTGCGCTTTTTGCAGTTCACCATCTTTGCGGCATCTGTCAGGATGTACTCAACCACTGCCATTAAGATGTTTCCTTGGAAATCCAACTGTACAACAGGAGAGGAAGCTTCCCGAAACTTGCCAAGAAACATGCCCCTGAAAACAGGGCTTCTTGCAGACAGGATGAAACGGTTGGCGGACACTACCTCTCCGTCACTCCCCTTCAACGACACATCATTCAGAGCTTCGTCTGTCAAAAAGCTTGCAAGCATCTCCTTCAGAGAGACTTCCTTGTCATTGTCGTCGTTCTTCAAGCTTGCCATCTTGATGCGTCAAGCCTTTTTAGTTTTGAAATACTAGTAACAATAAGAAAGAATTGAATCCATACCTCCGTTACGACGAGCCCTTGGACCAGGCATGGTTTCGTTTCGGCGGGAAAGTGAGTTTCCAATTTTCCAATGACGAATCATCAGGCTTCGCTCGGAGTTCGCAACCAGCAGAGCTGCAAATATCGATCAGTGGGGGTACAGGCACACTGTATACCGCCGGTAGCAGTCACCCAGCTATAGCGATACAGGATTAGTTCTTCTACGTGAGCATACATTGTGGTCATGCAACACACAAAAGGCATCGCTAGCTTATCGATACTACATAAGGATCACTCAGAGTGATCAAGCTGACGGAGTCAACTTTGGATATCATAGTTGGAGGCAAAGAGTTTTTTCGGTCTAACTAACTGCCGGTGGTGGGGCGTGGAGGGAAGCAATAGCGTTTGTGGTGCTTCCAGTGCGCTTTCTGACAATCCTTTGAACAATAACAGACACTCTCGCATCTGGCACATTTCTTCAACTTTTCAATCTGGTGGCGCCTCCATCCTTCAAGGCAATTTTCGCACCGATCAACGCGGCTCTTTTTGATTTCGGGTGCTACTTTCCAGCCTGCTTGTGGCTGCACTTCGTTCAGCTGGTTATTAAAAAGCTTTCGAGCCTTGGGTCCTTCCTTCTCGGCCAAAGAATCAACGTAGACCATGTGCTCAGGCTCGATACAGGTGGGATAGCTAAGAGCAATGACGTGCGTGGCGTCTGTACTTCCAAAGTAGTAGGGCGAAAAAGAAAACAGTTTATTGGTGCAGTGTTCGAAACAGCACCTGCAATCAGGATGTGCTTGCACGAGATCGTCGTTGAAATAATGGGATATAGCACGCAACAGATCCTTTTGAAACACTCTATCACGAGCGGCTTTCTCTTGCACTGCAGCGCAGGTCGTAAAAGTTCTCACGGATTGCGTACGTTTTCCCCATTCTGGTGGGCAAATTACCAAGCTTTTGAACTGGATCTCTCGAGGTTCACGAGCATCAGGCGTAGAAAGGTCGCACTTGGGAAGGATTCTCGCATCGTAGTAAAACCGTCGCTTCCCTTCTTCCCCGAAGAGACGAAAATTTTCTACACCTTTCTCGATCAGATCGTCCCAAGCAGACTTCACCATGATAACGCTGCAAGCTTTAAAAATATGAATTGGCTGTTAGACGCAACAAAGTTTGGAGGCCAGAATGTGAGCGTGTTAAAAAAATTCAGCGTGGAACACAACGGCTCAGTGGAGTTTCCTCTTTTGCTTGGTTTCGCTGGACAGGTGGGTCGGAAGAGCTGTCGGAAGCAGCTTGTTAAAATTGCACACCAATGACAAAGCGGAACGCACAGTTTCCTCTTCGCAACACTGACGTCAGTTACAGGACTATGTTCCTGTCTCGCAACAAACAACATCAACATACAAAACAAACAACAAGCAACACAGATCTGTTCCCTTTGCATGCTGATTGATTGAATAAGCTCAGCTTCTCTATTGAACGCAAAGAAACAAAGCATCAAACATGACTCTGGACGCAGCCATTCGAGAAAGAGCCGAAAACTGGGCCAAGCTGGATCCAAATCCGGTGACTTCCAAGTATGTGCAGGAGTTGCTCGACCAGTCTTCGAGTCAAACTGATGCCGCCGAGAAAATCTGCAATCTCTTTCCAGATGGCCGAATTGGCTTTGGGACGGCGGGTCTCCGGTCTACCATGACACCTGGGCCGATGGGGATGAATGACCTCGTGGTGGTCCAGGCTGCTCAAGGGATTGCCAAGTATGTGCTGCAGCAGAATCAAGTCAAGGAGGGAGAAAAGCTAGGCGCAGTCATTGGTTATGATCATCGAGAGCAAAACGCACTGGAACTATCGTCACTATCATTTGCCTTGCTGACGGCGTTGGTTTTTGAGCAAGCTGGTCTGGATACCGTCCTGCTAGATGGATTCGTGGCCACTCCATTGGTGCCATTTACTCTCTCCAAGAGAAAAGCTGTGGTGGGTATAATGATCACTGCATCGCACAACCCAAAAAATGATGCAGGCTACAAGGTATATTGGAACAATGGATGTCAAATACGAGCTCCCGTGGACAAGGGGATTGCCGAGGCGATTTTGGAAAATTTGACTCCTTGGGTTGATTATGGTGCTTTGTTAAAGGCAAGAAAGGAACGACATTCGGAAGAGCCATGCCTGGGCCTCAGTAGCCCCGACACGACAAAAGAAATGATATCTGCCTATTTTGAAACCATCAAAAGTTGTGGTTTGGTGACTGGTCAGGCTAGTCTTTTGAGCCAATTCAAAGACGATGCTTGGAAACCTCCTTCCATCGCCTACACAGCCATGCATGGAGTGGGCCTGCCATTTGCTGTCAGATCCTATGAAACGTTTGGGTTTCCGCCCTTTCAAGCTGTTCCCAGTCAAATGAATCCGGATCCGTCCTTTCCCACGGTACCATTTCCCAATCCAGAAGAAAAGGGTGCGTTGGATATCTCGAAAGCATTTGCAGAAGAACACGGCTGCGATGTGATCATTGGCAACGATCCCGACGCTGATCGTCTTGCTGTGGCAGAACGAGACAGAAAGACGGGAAAGTGGACGGTTTTCACGGGGGATCAAATCGGTAGCATGCTGGGTTGTTGGCTTTATGAACAAGTCGGAAAACCCAGTGGGAAGGTGAGTGTGAGACTACAGAAGTCCAGCTGGTGGGAAAAAGCCTGAGACTGTCTTCCTAATGCTACGTTGCTTGCTGCCACCAGCGTGTATCAATGTGTGCATCTACAGTCTCCTCTAAGATGCTTGCAGAAATTGCTCGTGTAGAGGGCTTTTACTTCGAAGACACTTTGACTGGGTTCAAGTGGATTGGTTCTCGGGCGGAGGAACTCAACCGAGAAGGATACTTTGCATTGTTTGGGTATGAAGAAGCAATTGGATTCAGTTGTGGAAACGTTGTATTTGACAAGGATGGGATCAGTGGCCTCGGTGTGTTTACAGAGCTCACGTACAACGTCTATCAAAAGGGGATGAGCCTGGCACAGCACATGCAAAGCCTATACGACAAGTATGGGGAATTCTGTAGCAACAATGGTGAGTGAGGACCTGCGGACTGCCTGCGCAACGTGGTTTGAGATATGTCTTTTTGCTTCGATTCTCTTGATTACTCATTTCCGCTTCCGCTGTCTTTCACTCTCTTGACTCAGGATACTTCATTCTTGAGGACCCCAGTGTTGTGCAAAAGATCATGGACATTATGACCTGCAATGGGCAATTCAGTTGGATACCGTAGGCCCGTACAAGGTGGATTCCACGCGATACTTGGGCGAACCTGCCTACGATTCAACCACCGACAATAAACTTCCCCGGTTGGCAACATCGAAATCATCCCCAATGATAACGCTTCGCTTCACCAATGGTTGCGTGGCACAATTTCGAGCAAGCGGCACAGAGCCAAAGTTCAAGTATTACATTGAAATGAAAGGCCAGGTGGGGGCTTCGAGGGAGAACGTGGAAGCCGAGCTGATGAAGTTTTCAGAGACAATCATACGAGAGTTGGTCAAACCTGAGGAGCATGGTTTGATTGTCCCATCCAAGGGATAAGTCAACAACTAGGCCATACGCTCACAGAAAAGAAAACGATAGACAAGCTAATAGATGTCGTAGCGTAGCGTTCATTTATTGGCAATTGCGCATAGCTAGCCACAATCGCCATTACCTGGTACTGTCTCATGCTAGAACCCTTCCCCACGAAACGCCCGGTCAAATTGAGCGACAGCTCCCGGACCTTCCGGAAGCGCCCTAGATCCAAGGTTGTATAGAAATGCCTCCCTCCATTGAATCTCATTCGTAATCACCAAAGCAGCATCATCGAGGAGCGCGGAGTCATCGAGCTGTTGCGCAGATGATTGTTGCTGATGTTCAGGCAAAGAGGAGGAACTACTCAGGTCCGAATTTTCGCGATTGTAATTGTGATTGGACGCCAGGGTTTCTTCTCCATTCTCCAACACTTCGACCCACCGAGCTCCCGTTTCGGTTCGTCGTAGACGCCGTCGATGTGCTGCTTGCTGCTGCTGTTCGGGAGATCGTTTCGGTGGCATTTCAAAGGACGAGTAGAGTCCCCAGCAACTCTCCATGACAAAACCCCAGTTTTGCGTGGGCGAACGGCGAATGGAGTAGGTCGGTACTTCCCTGCCTCCAACGGAGAATCGCATGTAGGACCCCGTCGGCCGTTCGGGTAAATCCATGGGTCGCCGTGTCAAGAATCTCCAGGACATGCTAAAGGGAGGTTGGACCAAGCGACCCGGGCGTGAATTGTGGTGATGGTTGTGTGGCTGTTGCTGTTGTTGTTGTTGTTGTATTCCCGCCAAGGATCCAAAGTTGGGACTGACGAGCTCCGGTTCCGAATCCAGACTGCTGGTGGCGGTGGTATTGGAGGAAGAAGAGGAACTGCTCGTTCGACGAACATCCCCAGCTGCTGGAATGTACTGAAGTACGGATCCATCTTTGAGACAGACCATTTTGCGACAGGGGAGTCCATTGTGCCACGGATCGGTTTGCGTCCAGTCTGCCCCGGCACTTTCCTTGAATCGAAAGGACCAAACGGTGCCCGTGTGTGTATCTGGATCATAACAGAGTTCGTCGATGGTCAAATGCTGTCGTTCCTTGGCATCTCTGATAGATTTCGGGTAGGCATGGAAGAACCAATCGTTGGGGAGAGTTTTTTGTTCGGGTATGGTTGGAACGTGTACCTTTCGAGCCCATAGTTTCCGACAAAGATTTTCCCAGCCCGCTTCGTTGCGCGATGCCAATTTTTTCCAATTGCGACAGCATTGTCTGACTTTGAGCAAGGACCGCACGTTTAGAAAGTTTGTGATTCGACAAATGACTTCATCGGGAAGGGAGGAACACAGCAAGACAGGAGATACCACTGGTACATCCCGTTCCTCGTCGGAGACATCGGAAAATGGATCAAAGTTGATCAAGTCAATCATGGAAGACGACGAGTGCGAGTCGGCACAAGACATTACTTCGTCCTCCTCTTCTGAGCCTGGCAGTTTGTCCCGCATCAGCAGTTTACGCGCCAGATTCTTGGAGT